ATGGGACATGATTAGGAAAACAACTTTATACGATGTATCTCAAATTCTCAACAATGCCGGTTAATAAGGCCCAGTTTTTTGATCCGTAGTAAAATAACAAATTGTATTATCAACAATGTTGGTTATAAACGTTTATGGTGAACACACTTCTGACACAAGCATTTTATATCAAGCTTCAAACTGGAGTGGTAAACGTGAATATTAGTATTATGTGCAATAAAAAATTGCTAAGACTGTAATTAAAATAAAACGCTTCGATTATTTAATGCTTGTAGATGCAGTTGTCCTTCAGAATCGATTACAATGTTTTATATCGATACAGTGACACGTGTGCAATATTGCTAAATACGCACGTCTGTAAAAGATGCCTAAATATAAATAATTAAACCATAAAATCATCTCCAGTAAAACTCATTAAAACTCATTTATTTCTGTAAATAGGCTTAAAAAAAGCACTTTTAAAACCTAAATGTATCAAAATGGCTGATTCTGGTGGTGCCTACGTTAGGCCTTCACAGTATGTCATAATCAAACAAGTATTATATAATTTTACCTTCATTTAAATTAATAAATTAACTTACCTAATTATTTATTTATTTATTTAAAATCTTTATTGCACACATAAAAAAACAGTGGTACAACTGGCGAGCTTAATGCCATGTGGCATTCTCTTCCAGCTAACCAGAAAATTAGACAAAACAGAGAATTTAAGTAGGCGGTTATTATTCAAAATTAATCTCTATAAAATCACCAATAAACCCAAAACATCTCAAAATAGTTGACACACACATTGCCCTTAACGGGTGAATGGCCCCTCGCTGGACCTATTCAGGGGTGGGGAGGGCAGGAAAGGGGGGGGGGGGTCTGAAAAACGTGAAAAGTGACCGCGATAAGGTATGTTTGGCCTGGCCGATACGATACCGGTGCAGTTATTTCAAATTTCGCAGGAGATAAGCTGAAAGTTTCACAGCGGTGCACACGTGGTTCGTAGAGGGCCATTCGTTCGTTAGCATGGTCACAGCTTGAGTATGTTTCGTAATACTCATTAAATTTGGTGGTTTCAATTCAGAATACTTCTTAAGAAGAATTAAAGATTTTTGCCAGTGGGCGGGGAATATAGCGTAGAGACGATGGCCGTTGGGGCAGAAAAGTTCTCGAGTGGCGACCACGGGCTGGAAGACGTAGCGTAGGCAGGCCTCCTACTAGGTGGACCGAAGATCTGGTAAAGGTTGCGTGAAGAACCTGGATGCGGGCAGCGTAGGACCGTTTATTATGGAAAGTCTTGAGAGAGGCCTTTGTCCAGCAGTGGACGTCATTTGGCTGAAACGAGACAAGAAAGATTTTTGTGACTTTGTAAAGGAATATCTATGGAAGTACTGAAAAGATTTTCAGCAGTAGAAAGCTGCATTATTTCTGAGTGACAAAAGCTAATAATTTATAATGATTTAATTGACCAAATTACAGCACTGAGTGAAGAGTGAGTCGGTTTTTCTGTGATAAACTGAATTTTGCTCGGGAGACACCGCGGGCAATAGCTAGCATTATACACATTATGAATATACTCGAGTGTGTTTTTAAGTAAACTACAATATTGTAATCAATATTGAAAAGTTTATACTCGTAGTTTATCGCTCGGAACACGCGAAACATACAAACTGCAGTACGCGAAAACGTTTATGTCAAAAAATACCTCACTTTAGATTCAAATGAGGCGAGCCACCTATTTCCGTGAGGGCTGACCGTGTGATATACAGGGTGAAGCACTATGAATCAATACTATTTGAATTTGTACGTTGTGTAAATAATTTTATGATTAACTAGCTGACCCGGCGAACTTTGTTCCGCCTTAATGGCAATAAATAAGCAAGCAGGCTTTTTTTTTAATTTCGAACGGGATAAAAAGTATCCTATGTCCTTCTACTGGCTCTAAACTACCTCCCTGACAATTTTCAGCTAAATCGGTTCAGCCGTTCTTGAGTTATAAGTGGTGTAACTAACACGACTTTCTTTTATATATATAGATTACTTTTTTCAGCTAAGTACATTTTTATTGAGTACCATAGTAAATCGAATCGAGTGTCTTAAAATTTACAGACGTAGTATGTTTATACTGTCGCAGTTGTATTACACACTACACATTCCAATTTTATTATTACAAAGAAAAAGTAATAAAAAAAATACCAACTAAGTATTGTGCACTTTATACTTTTACAGCTTTGCAACACAATTTCATAAACCTAGCAATAATAAGTTAATAATGATTTTATTAGTGTAACATCTGTGACTTTTTTATTCGATCTAAAAATCGCTTGTCATCGCTTGCCCTTTTTACTTCTGCATAAAGTTGAAAATGCAACAGTTACTGGTGATTGAGTTATTGCCATAGATCAACATCAAAAGATAAATGGTCATAAACCACCCTGTATAGTCCAATGCGCAACATGCCACTGCGCGCGTGCCCAGCCTAACTCTAGATGCGCCGATAGCAGCTCATTTGCATAATACTGCAGATTTTTTCAAGAAAACATATACAAACTTCATAACACACTAATGTTATGGGGTGGACCAAGGGATGAATGAGAGCGAATAGTATTTGTGGAAACCACAAAACAACGACTTCGCCCATTTTCAAATAAATCTCTCTTCTAAGATGAACTACACGCAAATGATAAGATTTTTTTTTTTAGATTTTTATTAAAAGCACTGACACGTCAAACGATTCATTTTGAAATAATCTTTTTAAGACGCCTTAGCGACTGCGCACACTGGGCGATAATCGCGGCGACTAGACGCGTGCGCGCGTCATTTCATATATTTATTAGCTGTCGTGTCGTGTCGAGACTCCGCGACTCTAATATGAAATTGACAAGAAAAGGCGTCTAGTCGCCGCGATTGTCGCCCAGTGTGCCCAGTGAAATTAACGTTTTTTTTCAGTCTTCCTTTTTTGAGTCACTCAGGCTGGGTTGCACCATCTTACTTAAACATCTTACTTATCGCATTGTGTGTATGTACAGTAATGTACAACTTAGTTTTATTCACAGTAATGTCAACCTAGAAAACTGAGTAAACGTATGTACAACAAAGTTCACGTAAGTACAGGTTTGTTAGGACGGTTCCCGCAGAAGTACATCTGCTTGTTCTGGCTATTGGACAACTTGTAAATTATCTACCTACATAAAATTTGTTAATTTCTCATGTAAGTGACTGCAATGTTTTTAATGAGAAATAAATGTTCTTTAAACCTAAACTTTTACGAACGTCAAAAATATGTCAAAATCCATACAAAATGCACCGGTTATCGTTATAGTTACTGTCAAAGTTAGGTGGTGCAACTCAGCCTAAGTACCTAAATTACGTCATTTTGTTACATCTAAAGACTCAAGTGTTTCTGAAAAAAATACTCTCATTTTATTTTTTCTATGACAAACTGGCCATTGGCATTTGCAAGTTTTCCATAGCACGTGTGGAACCCTAGAACTCTAATCTCAATTCCACGTATTGGAACAGGAAAAAATACCACATCTGACCTTATAATTATTATAATTAGTCGCTCATAACTTGAACTGCATCACAGGTCAAAGCGGGTCGCGACCTGTTTGTGTGATATTATTTTATTATAATTACTTTTCGTTGTTTGCAGGTAAGTGGGACAATCACGTGGAGCTGGTAAGATATGCCTTGATCACACGTGCCGAGCAAACGGGCGAGACAGTGCTCTCGGCCGAGTACTCGGTGTGTATGAACATTACGCCGAGTGCTCGGCCGAGCGCTCGAGTATGTGACTCACCCAACTGTCTCGACCGAGTAAATATTTTGACAGTCTCGCCCGCTTACTCGGTACGTGTGATCAAGGCTATAGAGGTGGATGATGAGGAAAGTGAAAATGCCGCGAGGAAAAGAACATCTAATGCTGAGATGCGCCATCTTACTTTAACTTTGACAAACGTCAAAAATTTGTCAAACTAAATACAAAAAGCACCGGTTAATGTTAATGTTATAGTTAAAATAAGGCGGTGCAACTCAGCCTAAGTAACTACAAAGAATGCGTGAATTGTGATAGTGCAGGGGTGGCCAAAGTTTTGACTTGTGAGGTCTACTTATGCTCGAAAATATTTCTTGTGGTCGACTGCAAGGTAGAGTTTAGAAGAGTGAAATAAAACATTTTAGCAGCAACAATACTACCACGTTACGACCCACCGACGCGTGTGAGTACCCATATTTACAGGTAGATAGATAGATAGTCAGTGTTCTTGGCGCGAATAGCTACATTTTAAAATAAGTTCAGTTTACTTAACTCTCGCGGGTATTGATGTGCCGTTCCCGAGAACGCTCTCCCAACTGAGAATATTCTCGGGAGCGCTCCCGGGAGCGTTCTCCTAAGTGAGAAAGGTTGAGAATCATGTTTATCAAATGGAAATAAACAAACTTTCTTAAGTAAATTAGTATTAAATTAAGTCGACAGATAAGTGTATATTAAACAATACACTCTATTTGCAGTGAAAGGCTATATTCCCAGTGTTCCCGAGAATATTCTCGGGAACTTTCCCGGCAATATTCTCGGCAACTGCACCTTTATTATATTTAATTTTTTTCGTCGTGAAATTTCGTTTTAATTATATGTAAGATGACAGAAATTTCTTTTTACACGTAATTAAATAATGTAACTGTCAATTTTTTCGTTTTTAACACGCTTTTATTAGGTCGTCGTGTATGTAACTAACTATGTAATGGAATCTTAGAATCTGAATTACACGTACTTCTATGTCTTGTATCATCATGAAACTTGGCAATTATAATGTAGATTAGATGACAATACAATATTGTGGTACCAGCTGATCTGATGATGGGACTGGAAGGTGGCCAAAGGAATTCCTAAACGAAACGGCGGAATCACATCGAGTTTGGGGTCATTGGATTTGTCTTTTCGAGATCTTTAAGTGCTAGATAATGTCCAGGGTCTTAATGATGGAGTCAGGAGGTGGCCATAGAAACTCCTAAACGAAACGGTGGAAACTCATTGAGTTGGGTTCGTTGGATTTGTCTTTTTGAGCACTTTAATGCTAGATGATGTCCAGGATCCTGATGATTTTTGGCCTTTTAGTGCTAAAAAGTTTTTTAAACTATTCTTATTTGACATTAAGGACATATTTCACAATCGCTTAGTAAGGGCCTGTTTCGCCACTTCTGGATAAGTTGTGGATAGCTTGTCTCGACGGATCATTTGACACATTTTTATAGAAAATACGTGCTAGCTAGATTGATCCGACACTTACCGAATATATCCCGGACATTAGTCTGTACGAGATTAGAATGGTTCTCAAACAGCTGTAAAACAGCAAGGCACCGTAATCACGGCTGAGCTTCTGAAAGCAGGCGGAATGTCGGCACTAAAGGCTTTTCAGAAGCTGCTCGATTCTGTCATGCTCGAGGGCATAACGCCTACGGCATGGCAAAGAAGTATGGTGATACTCATCTTCAAAAAAGGCGACAAGACCTTGTTGAAGAATTATAGACCCATTTCGCTTCTGAGCCATGTCTACAAGCTGTTTTCGATAGTCATTACGAATTGTCACGTTAGCAGACTCGACGACTTTCAGCCCCCCGAAAAGGCTTTAGTACCATAGATAGACCATAACAATATACGCTACGGCAGATTATATGGAAGATCAAGGAGTATAATCAGCTGCTTTGCGTTTGTGAACTATGAAAAAGCCTTCGATTCGATTGAGACATGGGCAGTGCTGCAGTCTCTCCAACTGTGCCAAATTGACTATCGATACATTAAAGTGTTGAGGCTTGTTCAAATACGCCACAATGACAGTCCGTTTCAAAACCAGGACCCGAAACCTATCCAGTTGCAGCGAGGGGTGAGACAGGGAGACGTCATCACCATCGCCCTGGAAGATGTTTTTAAGCTTCTGGGCTAGAGCGCATTCAGCATAAATATCAACGGCGAGCACATCACCCAGACAACAGACGATATCGTAGTCATGGCCGAGATCGTGGACGATCTAGGCACAATGCTCGATGGCCTCAATAGAGTCTCTCAACGAGTGGGTCTCGAAATGAACATGGACAACATTTAAAAATCATGTCTAAAGACCGTGTTGCACCCACTCCTCTAAAAGCTGGAGACTCTACACTCGAAGTTGTTGACAATAATGTATACCTGGGACAAACAGTCCAGTTAAGTAGGTTCAACTTCGAAAAAAGGTCAATCATCGAATCCAGCTCGGCTGGGCAGCCTTCGGAAAGCTTCACGATATTTTCGCGCGGCGTCTCCGTCGCGTTGCCACTCCGCTTGCAATCCGCTAGGGTGGCAAGGGCCTTAAAACTCAGAGGTACACTGATGTTCAAATACCGTAGCCGAGTCCTAAAGCCGCGGTACGCGTTCGCCACGAAAAGAGTGAGCAAGACAGCAATATCTCACTCACACATGTCATGCCTTGTTTATAACGACTAGTCTTAACGCCCAGTTTCGAAACATTACAAATAATATCACATAAACAACAAAATTAAAATTAAAACTAAATGTATTCTATCGAGAACACTGAGAATATTCCCGGGAGCGTTCTCGGTTCTCGAGAATATTCTCACTGGGAATATTGCCGGGAACGAGAACTTTCTCAGCGGCACATCTCTACTCGCGGGCTACCAAAATCGTCTTCGCGGTCGAACTCTTGGCCATCACTGTGATAGTGTGTTATTAAGGAACTACATAACATATTAGTAGATAGAATTAACTGACAATCTTTTTCTGTTCCGTATTTTTAGAAACTCTAACCATAGTTCGACTGAACCGAACCACCAGAGTACAGGTGGTTCAAGTGCTAGACTACTAGAGTCAATAGTAACTAAAATAGTACACAGAAAAATACTAATGAACCTAGGTATAAAATAATATGTAGGTACAAAGTACCTTAGTGAGTGTGTTTGTAACCGCTGTCCAGTACCTACAATTACTAATAGCATAAAAGTTATAACTTTGTAAATAAGTCTGTCCAAGAATTATAAATAACTTGAAAAAATCGAACTGCCTAAAGCGGGAATTGAACCCACGACCTTTCGCTTGCCGAAGACTGCTCTTCCATTTGAGCTACTTAGACACTGAATGAACCAGTGGACAGTCGATGATGTCAAAGAACAATTTGCATTCAATTTCTTCAACTGTCGTTTACTAACAAAAGGCTTTCATACTTCTATCTACAAGTAAGGCTATGAAAGCAGCCGAACGAGCCCTAACATTAAGTACCCAGTATTTCGCCTCAAGGCTCCTTGTATCGTATCATACCTAATTAAAATGACAAAAACTCCCGCACCTACTTCATCTATCACGCTGCCTGTGTGTGTGTACAGACGGGGGTGACGAGGGGTGGGGGGCAGGGGGTGGGGGTTACAAACAGCAAAAGTTCACGTCCGCCTTATCTCATCTGTTTGACGGATTCCTACCGACAACGCGGCGTATTCATATTTCGCGCAGATTAGGCAAGCGCAGAGGTAGCTGTTGTTTGGAAACTGAGGGCTGAGTGTGAGTTTTTTTCAAACGTACTCAATGTCATTAAATGTATGACGGATTGTACAGCGCCCCTATCCGGAAACTTTCAAAAACTAAAATTTTCATACATTTTTTAAGCTCGCACTCAGCCCACTGATAGAGAAAACAGACACTGACGTTAAGGGCCCGGTATAGTCTGACAAAACTGTGTAACAGCTTTTCACATAAATTATGGATATTGTGGTATTGGTTAATGAAATTAAGAGATTCGGTACTTAACTCACCCTAAAATACAACACATAAATGGTGAAGACTGTCAAAAAATTGCTGACTTTTTCAAAATTTTAATCGAATTTACCATGAAAGATTTTTTGCAACGCAATAAGTACAAAATACCTATATCGCGAGACACGTGGCGATCTTACCAAGTGACGAATTTTCTTGTTATGTGACTTTTTTGATCACATTGACTGGTCACCATTTCAATATTGCGTTATTTCAGGGAAAAGGCTTTGTTCTTATAACAATGTGAACACCTATGACAGAAATTTATCGATCGGGGCCTGACCAAGGCGAGTTTATTACTCAATATTAGTAAACAACAAAACAATATTTCTCTGCATTTCACTGCTCTGTGCAGCCAAGATCCTGGCGGCCCGACTCTGATAGCGAGCGCTATTTAATCACAGATACGATCGAGGGCGGGCGGCTTATCGCGCGCCTTATCGCCGCCCCCGACTTTCTTATCGCGCGTATAAATTCTGGGCGATTCTTATCCTGCCTTTCAAGGGCGCTAGATGTTTCGGTACGTGTGATAAGTAAGTAATTATAAACGCTCGCTTGAGGGTGTGATGCATCGCGCTTTGTTCGCGTTGGAGTGACGGATTATTTAAATTAGTTCAAGTAAGAATCCCTAAATATGTTCGCGATAGTCTTTTGTTTTAGTTTAATAATAAGTAACAATATATTGTTCTAAACTCATATTTGATATTAATATTAGGAAAACTGATATTACTCATCGATTACCGTGTACCTATGTTTCCATTAATGAATATTTAACTCAAGTAAATAAGAAGGCCTCAAATAGAGTAGGCAACATACTTAGTTGGCTATATTTTATACACATCTAAAAAATTATGGCCATTCAGACGAAACGTAAAATTGTATAAGACTAATGCCCGTATTCACAAACATCTGTACCTCTAGTAGGAAAAACTTTCGAGTTCGTTTCGTTGCGCCTAGGGGGCGCTGTTTAATTTTTCATACAAAATTTTTCGATGACACTTTGAATACGCAACGAAACGAACTCGAAAGTTTTTCCTACTAGAGGTACTGAGGTCTCACAGTGCGCGTGGACGCACAGGGTGGCACACGAACCAATCACAGAGGTCTATTCAACGCTATGTGTCCGATTTGCTGCTTCACATAAGCAAGCATCGTGTGTGAATACGGGCGTAAATTATACTTACTTAGGTACCTTATTAGTGGATAAAACATACATTGGACTAATTACCAACAATACAGCTCCTCTTTAGTGAGTGTCACATGTCGCGAAAATTATGATAAACGTAGTTTTGTGTATTAGGTTAGAGCTAACGATACGAGTTGCGTAGAGCTAGGGGGTGACAATGCCAACCACCCTCTCACCCCGCCTTATCACCCAGTCTTATCGGGTTCTATAAAATCAAGATAAGAATCGGGGTTTCTACGACCTGCTTTTGTTTGCTTGAGCACCATGATCTGTGATAATAAACGTTTTCTATAACCTTGATAAAATTCAGGTTTTTTTACCCAATTACAAAAACCTGGCTACGGACAGTAGATCAAATCATTCATTTGCCTGAGGTAAATTAGTGAGGATCGTACGTGGAGACTTAATGATGTCATAGACTAGGGGCCGTCCATAAATTACGTCATCGATTTTTTCAGATTTTAGCCCCCCCCCCCCTACAATCATCCTATCGTCATTTCTTAATGACCCCCCCCCCATCATTTACCGTCATCCGCAGACCAACCCCCCCCCCCTAATTTAGAATGACGTAATATATGGACGGCCCCTAAGAGCTGGTGAACGCCAGACCTACGTCATTTTATAAAAGCTGAAAGTTTGTCAGCGTATGCTCCCAATATAGGATACAATGTTGGTGAATCATGAAGTTTGGGACGCTGACAAACTTTCAGCTTTTATAAAATGACGTAGGTCTGGCGTTCACCAGCTCTTAGTCTATCATGATAATATTGGTAATGACAGCAAATAGGCCTACAATTTACAATCAAACCGAAAAAATAACAATAATAATGGTTTTTAATGGTGGAAATTTAACCGGTAACCGTAGAATCTATAGAAGTTCTCCATCACTGAACCACAAGTAGGTAAACCTCGTAACTTCTTTTCTTTTTTCAATACTCAAATCGTTAATGCATCCATAATGTTACAGTTTTGCACAAAACAGTTTAAAATGTACCAAAAAGGTTTTTGACTAACAGCTAACCAGTTGAAATATAAAAACACGTGTACTAAGCATTGGAAAACACTGAATATTGCTACTAAATATTTGTGGAATCATTGGAAATTCCAGAGCCTGACAGACGGTCGGGCAGGGCGGGCGGCACCGCTGGGCGGGCGGTATCGGCCGCCTTATCGCGCTATAAACTCCAGATGGCTATCGGCCTATTGTGACTCGCTTTTGTGTTATTTTTGTAGATATACGGGAATAAGTCAAAACGTGACTTTATCTGAAGCATTTTTGGGAAGGATTTATTATAGTACTGTAAAAGGTATAGTAACGCGTTTCCCGTATGATTTTTTACATACTTATGCATATCTTTACAGTTTTCTAGTAGGCTTATGTTTTTCAGAACTTACACCAAAGCTTTTTCAGTATTTTAATCGATCTACATTACCTCTTACATATAGTTTTCAAAATTATTGGTACAGTCAGCGTGAAATAGTTATTAAAAAACGATGCTTGCTTAAGTAAACCAGCAAATGATGCGTTGAATAGAGCTCTGTGATTGGTTTGTGTGTCACCCTGTGCGTCCACGCGCACTGTGAGACCTCATAGTAATGTTTGTGAATAGGGGCATTAGATCTCTAGATTTTTTGGATGTAACGCCATGTTGTCGTTCCATCTGTTTGTCAGAACTCGGTCATAAACCGAATCTTATATCTCTCGACTATAAATACTTTTTATCTCCACTCTGAAGCGTGTTCTTTGATGTTTCTATTCAGCTTTGGATTTTGATAGATAAGTTCGCAGACAAGATATATTTTGTATCTATGAATTAATATAATCATCAATATAATCCGGGCCCTTTCCAAGGCGAGAGTGAATAGGCACTTACAGGGCAGATATGTACCATCTTAGACTGCATCTCACTTAACACCAGGTGCGATTGCGGTCAAATACCTGCCTTGTCTTGCATAAAAACATTTGTCGAGAATAAACCTGTAAGTACCTATGCTGATAAATTTTAAGCCCAGGACTTTAGTAGATTATCCTGTCAACTTATGTCTATGGCATTCTATTGTATGCAATTCACATTAAGTCACGCCGACTTGGAATTTTGTCTGTCATTGAAAAACTTTATCGCGGCGTCCCCGTTTCAAAGACCGGGACAAAAACTATCCTATGTCCTTTCCCGGGACTCAAACTATATCTATGCCAAATTTCATCAAAATCGGTTCAGTGGTTTAGGCATGAAAGCGAGACAGACAGACAGACAGAGTTACTTTAGCATTTATAATATTAGTATAGATTAATTGAACATAAAAAGTACTTTATCGTCTTACTTATTTCATGAACGCTGCACAGGTTATAAATCAAACCACGTGACCCCCTGACACACGCGTCGCCAGGTCGGCCAGCATTATTAATAAAAAATAATTATTCCTCGTATCTAACTTCCGCTCGAGATACGCGATTACATCGGCCTGCTAATTAGAGTTATCGTAGACCAATTATTTATAAGCTTATCGAACTTGCGCCATTGTTCAGTTAAGTTTGCGGTGGTGCGTGTAATACGGTTGTGTAGGACGGCGAACATACTATCTAATTCCTATAAGAAAGGTGTATTAATCATTAATCGTTGATCCTATATAATTTTACTCAAGTCTAGATTGATTTTTGTGGTAATGACTAACGGAACTTGTATTACTTATACCTGAAAGGCTTTTCAGTACACTTCCGGTGACATTTGGTCGTGATAAAAATGTGTTTTTCTTTGAATGGTTTAAACTTAGTAATTAGAAGTTATTAATAAGTAGAAGTTAGTGTTCATAACAAGCACTTTGTATTTAAGTTTTTTTTTCGTTCGGTCGTTGGTTTCATCCAAATGACGTCCACTGCTGGACAAAGGCCTCTCCTAAAGATTTATATTATGACCGGTCCTGAGCCGCTCGCATCTAGGTTCTTCCAGCGATCTTCACTAGTTCGTCGGTCTACCTAGTGAGGGGCCTGCCCACGCTACGTCATCCAGCCCGTGGGCGCCACTCGAGAACTTTTCTGCTCCAACGGCCATCGGCTCTACGAGCTATGTGCCCCGCCCACTGCCACTTTATTTTAGCAATTCTGCGGTTTTTTTATGTAATTATATGCATTTCCAGACGAGTTTAAGCTCTGAATAGTTTTAGCTGGACGATTCGAGCTATGTCCGTGTGTCACCCACCTACATATATAGGTGACTATAAGTTTTCGCTGTACGCAATTGTAGTAGATTAGCACAATGTGAAGCAATGTTTTCCTTGATATAATCCTGTTTTATCATATTGCCTACTACCAGTAGTAGTTACTTGTTATTTGATAACAAATAATACTGTAAATATAATATTAAGTATCATATTATTATTTTCAGTGCAAAATAGGATAAGAAGTCTTTGCATTATAAAGAGTGAACTAATGCATTTACAAGTACCTTATCCATGTTTCAATCGTTACTTAATGAGTATCCTTTAAAAATATTTGATAATAATAAAAAACACTCTAAAATACATTAATAGGTACTTTATGTTCTAAGCAAAAGCTTACAAAAAGTTTAAATATAAATAATCACTTAAGAATTGCGACTGTGATTTGTCCATTCTTGAATTTAAATGGCTTTTTGAGCATTTTTGTTTCAGAATACGAAAAATAGACAGTTATAAAAATTTTTAAAAGTCTAAATTATCTCGCTAATAAAAACCCAAGCTTGCTGATCATAAACATTTTGATCCCAGATCGCCCAAGAATTTCTTTCTTTGCACCATAAATACAAAAACAAAATCCAATTGGTTTAATTTAAACCAATAAATTAAGCAACGACACATCCAATACGAAAATCGCTGTATCACAGTAATTACCAGTTTAGGCTATGCCAAAAGAAAACCATAAAATCCCCATTGCGAACGCCCATCAATTGCCCAGGCCAACGGTTAAAAGAATGTATGGCCCATAAAAATGTTAATACACTAATGCAATTGCGCATTTCTTGCAAGCGTAATTTGCCACGTTGAAACGAAAAATGCACTGAAAGTTTGGTGATAAGGCGTGGTTGTGAAGCATAGGCGTAAGGCGGTAGCGGGAGCGTGTTATACCTACATGCTTCATCTGTCCTTTCTTCTCTTGCATCTCCGTTAGCAGGGGTACGCCGTGACAACAGAGGGACCCCGTTGACTATCAGTTTCAAGACAAGCCCTGGCGGGCTGGATGTACGCTGAGCGGGTGCCTTTTTGTCAGAGGGGCACAAGCAGTTAACTGTCCACTTGTATATTTCTCTATGTTTGTGTCTATGTCTTGCCTGTTTGTATACCTTTCTTTCAAATAAAAAGTTTTCTTTTCTATTCTAGGTATTTGTTATTATTAGATATACATGTTATTGTTAAAAATACAAAGGGTTGTGCGGTATGAGCGGTAGCGGGAACTCGTCAAAAGTCAATAAAAAAGAAAAATTAAATGATCAGCAGTAATAACATTTGGTTAGCCTTCAAAGCAGCATTAAAATAATTTGGTTAGCCAAAAAATACTTGGTTTGCAATAAAAAAAAATCGTTCAGCGATCCTTGTGTCGCAAATAATCTTGATATTGATCAGCAATTTAATAACAAAACAGGCAGCTTTAAATATATGGGTTTTTGTAATAAACATTCATTATAAAATAATAACTTTGCTGTTAGTAATCTAATGCTTTTGTTACAAAAAATAAATAGTGTACTTAAAACTGTTTGGTGCTTATCAACTATTGTAGTCATTGCTTACACTACACATTGACAAGCGAATTGTTACTTACCTATTGGATAGCGAAAACATGTAATGGAGATTAACTTATCAAGTATTTAGTAACTAATTAGAACAGTTTTCCTTTAAAAACAAGATTTGTTTTCTCTTTACACAAATGTGTTACTGTGTTTTTCTTCCTTATGTATTTGCCTATAGAAGATAATTTGACATACAACTATGTAAAATTCAACTTTAAATAGTAAGTATTAAGAAATTATAGTAAGTAAACGACATACAACTTTTGACGAATCCACAGTAATTTTCTTTGAAATATCATAATCGCTATCGCCCATAAACGACTGTCGGGCATATGTCCAGCCGAATTCAGCATTCGCGGGAATGGCTGTTAAAGAAATGGGACATGCAAATGAGACGGATGCTATGACCGACGACCGAAACCCCTCCCCCTTCATGTAAAGAAATATTTTCAGGATAATATCGTCGCTTGCCTCTCTAACTGACGAATCTGATTTTTTTTTCGAAACTGCTTTATCTACACCATCTTAATCAATTTCGCAAGACGAATCAATCTGTCTAATCGCCTGAAAATTTTGCAAAATATCAGTTACGTCAGTTAGAGAGGCAAGCGACGATTTAAGAAATAAGTCTTTGTAAGCGTATTATGTATTACCACTGTATTTAAGTATGTTTAATGTTTATATTTATACAGACGGTCGTAGTAGAAATCCTTGGGGGAAGCCTTTGTCCAGCAGTGGACGGCATTTGGTTAAAACGAATGAACGAATGATTGTTTATACTCGTATTCGTTGTCTGGTACCAATAGTACTACTAGCTTCGCTTAATTTGATAGTGCAGTGTAAAATATCATTAGATATTTATTTATTTACTGAACCTGCAAATGCAGATACAATAATTTTCTGCAAATTCAAAATCGATGTGATGATTTTTATACAAAAGGGGAGCGGGACATGTTAGTGCCAATGGATTTTCAAGAATTGGTTCTTTTATAAAATTCCCCAAAATATTATCAATGAAACAAATTATTAGCTTATCACACCCAAACCTTCAACCAAATCCTCACTTTTGCTTGTTCGAACTCTACAAAAAGGCTTCAAGTTGATAATGCATATCTATCAGAACTGGCGGGCTTCGGCGCCGTTTGGCACCGGCCGCGATACACTGCATAAGTTAAAGCCGCCAGATATTTTTATACTTTATGGGGCTAACCGTGATAACGGGAAGGGATAACCCATGTGCCAAAATGAAACTGCAAAAAGATACGTGCTGTTACTGTCTATGGAACTTGGCAATTTTGTGCACACTGGAAATCATTCGGGGAGGCCTATGTTCAGCAGTGACTGTGGATGTCCTGTAGCTGAAAAAATGATGATGATAATGAATTTGATCAAAATCAACTGAAACAGACAAAATTTATTCTCAGTGAAAACGACGCTTTGGATGATCTGTATTAATTTTAACCAACTACAAAAAAGGCTGACAGCCGATGGGGCAGCAAGGTTCTGGAGTGGAGGCCGCGTACCGGAAAAAGCAGCGTGGGAAGTCCACCCACAAGGTGGACCGACGACATCATAAAGGTAGCAGCAAGGCGCTGGACGCAGGCCGCTACCAACCGGGCAACATGGAAAGCATTGGGGGAGGCCAATGTCAACAGTGGACGTCCTATGGCTGAGATGATGATGACAAAAAAAGGCTCGCAAACCGACTGTATGATTTTATATAGTCAGTCTTATTAGTTTGAAACTTAACAGTTTTAAGTAACTACTTAGGTTGAGTTGCACCACCTAACTTTAGCCGTAATAACGATCACCGGTGGTTTTTGTATAGAGTTTGACAGATTTTTGACGTTAGAAAGTTAAGGTAAGATGGTGAAACTCAGCATAAGAATGTATCTTATTGCGCTGAAAATCTTAAAAACATGGTCACAGCGTCCATTAACATAAAAGTACCAATATCACAATCATAAAGCTTACTGATAAAAAACTAATGCAGGCACCCGGAATGCACCGATATCGGGATCAGATAGCTCGTCCCGGCTCTCAGCTGATAAGGATTTAATTCATTGATAACTTGTCTACAAGATAGCTGTGGCGCCAAAACTGTTACGTCTTTACAATTATAAAGTGCCAGGATACGACCCTTTTTATTCCAATATATTTTATATTATGTGGACAACTGTTCTCGAGTGGCGACCACGAGCCGAAAGACGTAGTGTGGGCAACCCTTCCATTAGGTGGACCAACGATGTGGTGAAGGTCGCAGGAATTACCTGGATGCGGGCAGCGCAGGGCCAGTCATTCTGGAAATCCTTTGTCCAGCAGTGGACGTCAATTGGCTGAAAAAGAACGATGGACAACACAGTAAGATATACCTATCTTTAAAGACAGACATAGTACCACATAAACTACATCATCATCATTTCAGCCAATGGTAGTCCACTGCTGAACGTGGACTCAAGGAATGAAACTAAGTACATACAATATTCCAATCTCTCCATTCGTACCACCACCTTTTCCGTCTACACCGGTGGTGGTTCAACTCCGGTCACCAAGCCACCAGGTAAAAATCCTTTCTTTTAAGACACTGTCGAGGTCGTCGGTCCATCGAGCAAAAGGGCGGTCTTCACTACGTTAGTCGATACTCTCCTTTTCACAACCGTTTCATAGGTTCTGTCATGGATACAGTCGGTTTATTTAGCTTAAGTAATAATATGCATTGCAATTCTGACGTCAGTTTTTGCAATTCTGACGTCAGTTTTTGCAAACCCATACTCATTATTTCTTGCCTGGATTAACAACATTTATTTCATGCATACCAAAAGTCAAACACTATAAATCAGACCGACGGGAACAAAACTATTTCTCAAATAACAATCCAAAGCACCTTTCATCTTCAATAATTGTTTTATGTTCACCACAAGTGTAAACAATACACGCAAAGAAAAACAAATAGCCACTGGAGTATGCAACACGACAGCTACACGCGTTTAAGGTACAACGACGGCTCAATGCGAAGTGTTAA